TGCCTGCAGGATCCGCGAGGGGAAAGCCGACCGGGCACATTCCATGGCTCTTGGAGAGCGATGCTGCGCTGGTGGTATTTGTGAAGGGGAATGAGAAAGTTATTTTGAGTGTGGCTGACGTGGTTGCTGATGTTGTCAGGGAACGGGGTGTGCCAGAACTCAGTGCCGTGGACCACACCATGGAAAGCAAGTACAAGGACAGGGCAAGTGTAATTTGGATTTGTGGACTCAACATGTGGCTCAACCAAAGACTTGATGGTGACAGGAGGAAAATGGCCAACGGGTCATGCTGAATTTCCGCTACAAAATCACCCCCCGAGCAAAAGTCAACGCTTTCGTGCCCAAAGAAGTGACAGATATTGCAAGCTGCCGTTTGTCAATGGCTGGGGCTTGGTACATGAACAAGTTCGACAAGATTCCAAGATCAGAAAATATCAACATCCTTTGGGAGGCGGGGCTGTTGCAACTTGGTTGGGGCTTCGGGTTGGCCACTGTGTGTTATGCTCCCTGCTACTGAAGGCGAAGGTTGATGAGTCGATCCCGGCGGTCATCACCCCACTCAAGCCAAAACTTCACCTCACCTGTAAGACCAAAGTACCTGGTGGGTCTGCTGTGCAGCTGAAGTAGGGCGTGCAGTTTTGACAGCTTGGATGTTGCTTCGTGGACTCGAGGAACAAAGCGGGTGGTGTGTGCGTGTGTCTGGGTGGGCGGCTGTTGCATGCTACATGAACACTTGATTGATTGGCTTGATTTTCCATGGCGCAAGATTTGGCCCCACAGCTTCCTACCACCTGAGCACCAAGGCTGGCATGCCCCTCAGGGATGTAAGCGAGCTCTCTGATGATGAGCCCCCTGCACTGTCCAAGGATGCCCTGCCTACTGACTCTGAGACCAAAAAGGGAACAGCCAAGCCAAAAAAAGCTGGCAAGGCAAAGGCCAAGCCAAAGAGCCCAAAAGAGGTTGGGAGGGGGCGAGGCAGGGGCAGGTCTGGGAAAGCTATGAAACGGCCTGCATCCCAGGGCGCCAGCCCGCAGAAAAAGGGATCCAAAGAGGAGCCGCAACCTACGACCCCGGAACCAGAGCTTGCACCTGCTAAGAGGCCTGCATCCAAAGAGGAGCCGCAACCTATGGCCCCTGAACCACAAGAGCTTGCGCCTGCTAAGAAGGCTACTTGCTTGAAGCGCCCAGCAGCTGCCAACTTGGAGCAATTTGAGGGTCCAGCAGCACCAGCAAAAATCTACAAGTATCGCTACTCGACCAATGGGACCTGGGGTTTCAAAGTGAATGGCCGGGAAGTTATCAGGGTGCCCAAGTTGCAAGTAAGGGGTTGTATTCACTGGATGGTCACCAAACAGAACATGTAATGGTTTCTTTTTTGCTCTACTAAGTTGAAGCAAATGGGATTGCCCGACAACGTTCTGGAGGAGATTGCCGTGCCCTGGTTAAAGCAAGGACCACATTGTTTCCCTTCCAACACCTGGGATCTAAGGATTCGGTGTTCAATGAGCTGAAAATCCAAAATGGGGAGCCACAAGCCGCATCAGCTCTTATGGAAGCTTGGCCTTGTTTGAATTAAGTGCTTAGTCTGTACCTTCAGCTATGCTTTCTTTGAAAATCCCGTCAACTGAGGATATCATGCTTGAGGCTGCCTTGAAGAAACACAATGAGCCCAAACCTGTCGAGCCTCATGCTGAGCCGGATGAAGATCAGGCCGAAGAAGAGATTGAGAATAGTCTAGAGATGGAAGAAGAAGAGCAACCAGAGGAAGACAAAGCTGTGGAGTGAATCCGTTGCGGAGAAAAATGTGCGCTGTGTGGGGGGGGGGGTTGGGACGCTTCAAAATCAGGAATTGAACATGTTCTTGCCTGTCACCAACAACAACCATTTAAAATCAGCCCGTCCCCAAACATGTCGGAATTGAACAATACCCTTGCCAAGAGGTTGTTTCTAACGACAACCCATATGAAATTATGAACAAAATCCTTGAACCCATAACGAAAAAGAACCCTTTCAAACAAAACCCTTGATAGAGACCAAACCCCCAATTAACAGGATCCTGAATTATATATATATACATGTATATATATATATATATATGGTCCCCCCCCCAGGGCCATATATATATATATATAGATTTATATATGTATTGAAGGCCTCTGACTTTTCTCTAGACATGCCGCCCTCCCCCCCTCCTTGCAAAGTACAAGAAAAGGGTCCTCGACTGGCTGATAAGGAAAACCCCCAACCTCCTTCTTCATTTCCACTCCCATCATTCAGCTGTCATTGTCTCATGAGGGCGTACCGCTCATGGCAAACCACATCGCCCAAAGTTTGAAACTAATGAATTCCTGGATGTATCAATTGAAGGGCAACTCTCACTGCTCATATCTTCCCCACTTTAGATGATATCCCTTTGTATACAACCGCCCGTGTCCTAGATTTTGGATCTGACATACAATCCCTATGTTCCCCGTATTCCTCAACTTTCCCCACCCAAAACATCGCCGCTTGGACTTCCTACGCCCGGTTCTTGCGCGGGAACCATGTCAGGCGGCGCCGGATTTCCGCCGCACTGCGTGCCGAACTCTGCAAAGCTGCTGGAACCTGTCCATGGGTCCACGGGTGCCGGGGACCCATCCGTTTGTTCATCCCAACCTGCGGTTTGGGGCGAAACCCAAAAGGCATGGATGGTGAGGTCAAAATACAGGGTGGCCAAACAGCTGCCAGGGCTGGCCGCAAATGGAGAAAAGTCTCCGCAGGTTTGAATTCGCTGTTTTGCTACTCTAATGCCAAGTGGAGGTTCTGCAAAAACAAGCACATGCAACACAGGGGTAGGCCAATCCTTGGTTTAAACATGTCGTTTTGGGTCCAATTTGGGAGGACAACAAAAAACGGGGTGGTGTCCGTGTGTCTCCCATTCCACACTATTTACAACCAGCCAGGAAAAAAGGTACCCGGAAAAAAACACACACACACCCTGAAAAAAGACACACCCATGTTTACGCATGTTCAAGCCAGTATCTTTCAAGCAACCTGCTCTGGGAAACGCATGCAGCCATCCTGGGTACCTGAAAAGCCTCCAACCCACGTCTGTTTGAAAGACCTGAATCAGTTCTCGTACAAGAAGTCAACCTTCGGCGCATCGCACCCTGCTAACCCATACTCAAATGGCTATGGGTCAAAACCCCGATGCCCCGGTGAACACCCAGAAAGCCTTCTACAAAAGACCACAGTGGAGGTGTTGACCCACAACCAAATGAAAACCCAACCTGGTAGGCTACAAATGGTAATTGAAAAAACAAAAAAAACATCTGGCACGACATTTGAATCCTGGGCACTGAACTGGAAAATAAGGTCAGTCTCCCGCCTCCGGAATCGCCAATCATGGCGGCTTTTCACGGCTCAGCCTGGGGATATGCGTGCCTTTTATCGTTTCTTTGGGGGTGGTTTTGAGGTGAAGTTAACTAGGAACTATGGATTTTTTGGGGGTTCCCTTATTTGAGACTCGCCTGTATGGACCCCCCCCCCGGCCCCCCACAGGGGTTACCGCTTCCCTGGTTTTGGCAGTTCTGCAGAACAGCCCCGTTGGGCAAACAAGGAGGGGCCTTTCAATTTGCGAGCCCCCAGGGATTCAAGGTCCCCGGAACCAGAGCGCGCAGCTTCACAAAGTCAAATGGGCCCCGCGAGTCACAGTGAAACCCTGGTATTACATCCGCCGACCCCTTCTGACAAAAGGGGAGGCGCGAGGGTGAGTTCGTCCCAGCTCTTGCATGTGCTGCTGTCCTGTGTAGCATTGCTGCTGTCCTGTGTCGCCAACCCCTGACCAAAGGAAAATCCAAAGAGAAAAAGGGAGATGTGCAAATCTAGATGGTTCTGCGCTGATGATGTTGGGGATGCTGCTTCTGCATGCCCTTCGGCAGTTTACACCAATTCCCGGAATAAGAGGCTCTGTTGGTGACGCTGGGAATTTTGCCGCCTCTCATCTTTTTGTGGGATTCAAAAGGTTGGGTGTCGCCAGCACAGGGCGGCAGGCTTTGTTATACAGAAGTCTTCCAGATGCCATGATAAATTGAATCCAAAGGGTGGATATCGGCTTCGCAGTCCCTCACCCTTCATCTTCCCCAGTGTTGATTCAACAAACTCTTGGAACACTTGGCCAACGCCGCATATGTTGCCCTGATCCTGGCTGGAAGGAAAACTCAAAAGATGAACATTTTTGTGGGGTAGACGCCAATGGAAACCGACCACCAGGGTTGGCTGCAAACTTTCTTTGAACAACTAGACCAATTGCAGCACGCTGAAGGGAACCATAAGGAGGCTGTTTATCGTTGTCATAGTCACCTCAGTGTAAGCTTTGCCGGGTAACCATCTCAGTGCCTGACAAAATGACGACACACAGCAGTCTCAAAATCATGATCCCAATGGTCAAGCCATGCTGCGCCCAGCGATTGACCCCCAGGCCTAGCTTCGGCCCCACCGCCGCGACATTGGCGCGGTGTGCTCGGAATGTTCAAATCTTTCCAAGTTGCAAACATGTCTAGGCGCGCATTTCCTTTCCCGAAGAATTCCTAGATCTAAGCTCAACATGCTCGTGCGAGTAGGGTGAACACCTGCCTCTGAATTACTTCCTCACAAAAGTAAGAAGCTGCGAAAGACTGACTGGCCATGCTCGTTGTTTCTGATGGACTGTGGACATGAGAACCGTGCTCTAAGCAAACTTGCGGTGCAGCGAACTCCCAAACTAAGCCAAGTCAGCTCTTTCTGGGTGTTTCCAAAAATGGGAAGTAAGTGGCTTCAAGTTGGAAACGCCCAGGCCGTGCCCTTTTGGAAACGCCTCCAATGGTCCAAGCATACGCACACATATACAGCATCTACCTGCAAAAGTTACTATCAAACCTAAACCCAGGGATTTCCTCATCCTTCATGGCCAGACCGTTTTTCCCCCCAGGCGAACTTGCCAGAAGACTTGCAGACTGGGGCCATGCAGCCTCTCACTTTTTGCTCCAGCGCAAAGAGGGCATACTCGGTCCAGTCCTCCAAAGGCGATAGGCTTCGCATCTTTGCACCGTTCATTGCAATGGCATGAGTTCTAGTTGGAGACCCTTTGGTGGACATATCCGGGATTCACAAACCCCTGTTTGATTCATAGGGGTGTTTCCCCTTTTGGTGAGGGATTCATCACTCTTGGACGGAACACCCACTATCAATACGACAGGTTCGTTGATCCGACGTCAACACAGGTGATCTCGTCATTTCTGGTCATGTCTTCTTTCTCAAATGCACGCCGTGTCCTCCACGTTGATGCAAACCAGCGGGCAAAGCTTCCTCCGCTGAAACACAATCAATGTGGGTGACAAATGTTGCCAACTCAATAGTCTTGATTTTGCTATGGGTCGGCCACTTGAACATGGTAGGTCAGCGCTGTTTCTGGTTCCTGCCTTTTGAGTGTGGTATTCCTCAAGAGCTGCAACGTTGTCTCAAAAAGGCTTTGACACTGTCTCAGCAGGCCTCAAGTTGAACGGCGGCAAGGAATAGTCATACCTGGCGGATCGCGTATGCTCGCTGGAATGGATAACGTGTCCCAAGAACAAAGCAATCGTCTGGTGCCGCGATCGATTTCGGTCGAACCAAGCACAGCTTTGCAGCCACGACACTCCTTGGCACAAACGAGAACAGGGTCTCTAGCCGAGCTCCGACATGGCAAGGTGAATGCTGAAATTGGGCTGAGTTCCCCATTGCCAAGGCTCGCTTTTCGCGAGAGTTTGCGAAGGCACTATCTTCCCTTGCCAAGCACACTTCCTGCCAGTGCCCCGCTTTTGGGAAAAGCGACGTCTGGAAAAGCCGCAACCGGGGCCTCTCTGCATGGAAGCAAAGAGCGCACGCTTCAGAGATCCTGCGACCCACATTCACAAGCAAGCACCTGACATCATGGCAAAGACTTTGAGCTTCGTCGCGACTTTTTGGCAGTTTTTCCCCGCCCGGCATCTTGCTTTGCTCCCCGAAACATGCGGCGCGCATCAGCTGTTCCTGTTCAGCCTGGTTTCAAACGGGCAAGGCAAACGGCATGCACGGACCTGATCGCACTGTCACAATGCAAAGGGGCATGTGCGGACTCTGTGCCGCATCTTGGTTGCCACCTTTTGCACCAACCTGTCCTGAATTGGTGTTGCAAGTCGCAGCAGGGGCGTCTTCCTTTGCTCAAAAACCTTGGGCACGAGGGGGATTTGGGCACATCAAATCCTACACAGATCCGTTTTTCGGGCCAAGGCGGTTTGCTGGCACGTAGTTCATGGACTAGCATGCAGTCAGAGACATTGCGATGGTCATCAGGACGAATAGCCGCCCTCACTCAGAGATTCAACCTGAACTTGAATCAGGCTATGTGAAAAGCAACTGCAAACAGCCAGGCTGACGGAGCATAGTGGGCATGATGTCCCTTTGCCGCACCGCGGTTGTTAGGAGCTCCGCGGTGGATATTGGTCACCAAGTACCTGGCATAGCTCAGGGATACAGAGTGCTAATTTCGCAGCTACGAGTGCGAGCAATGAAGTCAAATGGCTATGAGTCCTGAATGCGCGAGCAATTCTGCACAAGAAATTGCAACATATTGTGAGTTCAAATGGGGAAGCCCTCTAATTGGTTGTCGGACATCAATCCTCATGGAAATTGTGTCCATCAAAGGGTCCCCAAATAGAATTCATAGCCACACAACCTGCAATTCATGCAAGGCATGCAAGGCACCTTGCTCCAGACGACTGCAGCACACGCAGTGCATGCACAGCATCCTCAACAAACATGTGGTTGAGCGTCTCCTGACGTCACACACACACACTCACGCAAACATTGCATGATCAGTCCCAACAGCACTACCGGGTTGACACACACACACACACGCACACTCAATTGCATGAAGGTGTATGTTGTTCCAACATGTGCGTGGGGAGTGGGAACAATACTATTCACCAGAAATTACGCTACAACATGGTACCCGTTGAATCGCTATTTGTGTGTGTGTGTGTGTCTGCTGGACTGCAGAGTTTCCACGCTCAAATGCAAAACGCATTGGCTAGGTGCAAGAACAAAAACACATGCCAACTCTCCACAGAGCTGCTTGGTGCTTAAGAAATTGCTTGTCATGTAAACCACCTGTCAACATGATACTGGCAATATGCTGGGATTAAATTTGGCTGCCTCCCGTGAAAATTGAATGGTTACGTGCCAAGTAGCCCGGATCATGACTCTCAAAGTGCATCCTATTTCCTCATGGCTTGACGTGATGTTCAGTCCAAAGTAGAAGTTTAGGAAAGCCACCTCTATCCAATTCATGCTATTGCCTTTACAATCGCCTTCCGACTTGCAGGAAGTCAAAGGGACATGCTATCCGACTCGCATTCCGATCAGCACAAGGTTGCTAGAGGAAATCGTCTCTTTAGAAACCAGCTCTCACTTGCCCAAAGGACCTGGATACAAAAGGTTCTTAACCTGTTGAGACCTTGACATCCATCACAAAACCACAAACAATTGGCCCTGGGCGCTTATCACCTGAGAGAGCAACGGATAGGATTCGAGTTGAGTGGTACCCCGGTTTTGTTTGAGAAATTCAGGTGGGTCCTCAAGCCACTAGTAGACCAATCATAGCGACTCGCATCGGACTTCTAGTTGATTTGACCCTCCCCAAACAGCCCATGCGTCTAGTCTTCCAATGGGAGAATGGACCGCCTCCCCTCTTCTCCTCCCCAAGGCCACGGCAGACTAATACCACTGGCATAATTTGACTCATGTGTCTGGGCCCCCGATGCTCCCCCATGGACTCAAGGCAAGTTTGACGACTCAAAACAAACCATGGACCCACTAAGCACTCCAAAGACCCTGTCACAAGGTAATATTCTGCTTCCCTCCAATTGGTGGTCTGGATTGCTGGTTTGGAGGTTAGGGGGTGGTTTCCCACATGGGAAAAAAGAATGGGCATCCTTATTTGGTTGAGTTTCAAGAAAAAAAAAACCTTTCCCAAAAAAAAACTGAAAAGAACTGCAACTTTTTTGGTTGGTTGAGTTTCAAATTTGGAACCCGTCCCCAAAAAAGAACAAACAAAACAAGCGCAAGCCACTGGGCAACTGGGCCATGCCATGCTCCTTGGAGAAGATCAGCTCTGCTTCCGGCAGCTCGCAGTGGCTGAGGTCAGCGGCCAGGAATCTCGGGGCGCGCGTCGCGCGGCTCGCGAGGCTCGCTTTTCTGGTCAAAGCCACCAGGTCACCAGCCGCTTCTTCCGGGGATTTGAGCTTAGAGATATATATTTTTTCCGCAAAGCGACGTCCCTTTTTGGCTATGACTGGGAGGGACGTGGGAGACTTACGATAGTTGAACCACAAAAGCTGAGCGAGAAATCCTGACTTCCCCATGTCCATCCACTAGGCGCCGCGGCTCACATGCATGTTGGGGCATACCTCCAATGAGATCCTCACATGCATGGCTCTCAATTTGAATGGCTGCAACACCCTAACCAATTCATGTAAAGCATGCTCCTCCAAGAGTCCACCTTTAATATCAGATCCACAGAGCGACATGCTGATCTGGCATGCATTGACACTTTGGAATCGCATCAAGGCCAAGGTGCCGTCAAGTTCTCCGCGGAGACAACCCAGCAACTTACATCCACTATGCCATGGACTTTGCACAAATCCAGCCAAGTATGTCTCACCCTCATCAATGCTGGGATGGGCATCAACCACCTGCGGGGAGTCCCTGATTTTGAGATACCCTTCCTCCCAGAAACATAGCACCTGTGCCTGAAAGATCAGTTTCCTCAAACAATTCGGGTCCTGTCTGCTATGTAGGGTGACAGAGGAGACTCGCCAGCTTTCTTGGGCTTGGGTACCATGAACTCTTAGGTGGAAAATCGTGCCATTCTTCAGTCCCTGGTGACAGTGACCATGCCCTTCTCTCTCAGCTTCTCACCGCAGGTTGGGGAACTTCTGCCGATTTTCCTGGAGAAAAAGTCGCATCCGGGAGTGGTTCAAAGGCTTCGAGTATGACTTCCCCCACAAAGCACCTGCAAAATAATTACCGCGGACTGACCAATTCCCGCTAATTGGCAGGTGGTTTATCCCAGTGTTCATAGGGCTTCGTCCATTTCAGTGCAGATGTCCCAACTATCACCCCTAGCATTCCAATCTCTCGCTTGTGCATGTTTGGTAGCCAGGGAAGTTCTGTGAATCATCGAGGTGACAGCTACGCAAACACCGAAAAAAGCATTGCCAGGGTCAAAATACCCACATCGATGCAAAGCCTGCCATTTGGGCCCAAGCCCCCGGCCAACAATGTGGCCCAAATACGCAGCGTCGTCTTAACACCGTGTAAGACTGATTTGAACTGGGCACCTAACTCATGTTTTCGTGGATTGCCTTCCTCCCTTGCAAGCGTTGGTATTAAAGGCGTGAACACCTCTGCAAGCCACCCCACGTATGGCAGAAACTAGCCTTGACCAACTGGTGCGAGACCTGACTCAGCTAGACCAGAGACTTTGTGAGGAATGCGCTCGCCGGGTTGTGCAAGGAGCCACTGCAAAAGCCAGGTAAAGGCAACAATACACAACTCAAACCGAAAGAACTGCTGAGCAAATAAATACTCGTTCTCACTGTGGAATGGCGCAGTGTGGAGCTTGCAACGTGTCCACAAGCCTAGTGGATTAGTGGTCCGCTGGCTGTCGAGCGACGAGCAACGGACCGCGTTTGCATGCACAAGGGTTACGCTGGCGATGGGCAATAAGGACTTCGATCGTTTCTTGGACCTTGACGCCTCAAGCGTCTGGCGGAGCTTTCAGCAAGCGCATATTTTTTGGTCACAGGTGTTGTTGGCGCCACAGCCGCTGGTACAAAGACCAAAGGCCGGATGGACGGAGGAGTAGTCAGCTCTGCAGCAGACTGTCTGAAAGTGCCTCGAAAAGACGGCAACCCATCCAAAACGAGAGGTGTCTATTTCGGAACATTCTCATCTTTTGAGTTTGCTTTCAGGATTGGGCCAACCGATTGAAACTATACTCCACATGTGGTTCCCGTACAAGGGAATCTGGGTCTGGCTGTCGAAACACATGTTGCTTTCAAGCGCAACAACAATCCACCAACAGGGGCAGGGGCTCCATATGTTTTGGGGACACCATAACGGTTTCTGCATAGTGAGGCACGTCACAGAGCTCGGACTCTTCGATTGGGCAAGGGCGCCCTGACCGATCCAGACAGAATAGCGTGCGTGTGTCCGTTCGCTTTTTTGGGCACCTCAAAAGGCACCTCAAATATCATCCAACAGTGGGGGTCCTTTCCCAACCGGACCCAAAAGAAACACTACACTAAAGTGGAACACGTGACTCAGGCTTCCAGAGGCCGCTCCCAACCAACCAAATATAATGTCCAACCTGCGCAGCTGGAGTAAGCCAGGCAAATACTCGCTAATGCAAAAGCACCACGTACGCAAAGGGCACAAGCAGCCGAACGGTTCCTGCCATGAAGAAAGATGCCAACAGCTAGAGCGCTCTCAGGAATGGATCGTGACCAGCCAGGCTGCTTGCCGTCGCGCGTTTCCTGGTGTGTTTGCGTGCGCTTGCCTGTGAGCCTGGCCGATCATCGCCTGTGGCCGATCATCGCCCGATCCTTGCCTGTGCGCTCTTGGCTGTGTGCGATCACTCAACCATTCCCCCTCCCCCCACCCCGTCCGCCGAAACATATCAACGGAGTGGGCAGAAAATAAATCATGTACCTCCTAGGTCCAACTTAAAGAAACACAACCTGGGATTCCAGCAGTGTTGTGCTGCTGTCAACCCTCGACAGTCCTCAATGACATGGCTGACAATGTCTATGCCGATGTATCTGACCTGAGCGCATTGTGTGCCTTGCCGTGCTTCAATTCAACACTCCGCGTACACAAATTCCCCTTTCTTGCAGCAAATAGACTGCCCAGCGCAAAACCAGCAGTTGCCTTGGACGCTGTCTCCATGTCTAGAAACACCGATTTGGTGGTTGATTCAACATTCCATCCGGTCAGTGGATGAGACAAAACAAGTCCAATTGCTTGCGCAGCCCAAGTTCAAGCAGCTTAAGTTCGCGCGGTCCCTTGAGCCACGGACACCCGGCCTCCTGGAAAGAAACCCTGCCGCAATCCTGGCTTTCGAAGAGCAAACTGACGCCAGAGGAATGTCCTAAGAATCTCCGTGGCGGAAATCCGTGACGGACGGACGACTGGATTGCGTGCGAATGTCTGAAACAACAGAAGCTCTTGACTCACAGTTGCTCGCTGTTCCGAAACCTCCCTTGGCATCGCCAATCGAGATGTACGTCTTGCCGGGAAGGGTCAATCGCTAAACAACTGGCAACCATCTTTTTTTGAGCAAATTGGTGTCCTCACCCATTCGAACATTTGGGTTACTCATGGTTACTCATGTATTTGTTTTCCCCATTACTAGCTCGTTAAGAAGAAGTAAAAGGATCCAACTGGACATCCTCAATCCCCTCATGGCAGTGAGGGAAGGGCCTCAACGGATCGGATTTCGGAATCGAGTTTCTGTCCGCGAGCAATTTCCCTCGGCACTTTGGACCCAACAAACAGCAATCCAAATGAGAAGGGGATTAAAGAACAGTCCCAGTATCCCTGTAAATTCAATTCGGAATACTCCCCAGATTGACATAGAACCATACAAACATCACATTTGTTCTCAATGCAGTCGACTTTTGGAAAATGGACCGCCTTAGTTGGGGTCCTGTCCAGAAAAAAAAGACAACTGCAAACACGACATAAACGCCAAACAAGCGAAAACCATCACAGATTTGACCCAAGACACGGCTTCAACACGCGACAGGCCCACCAAGCTGCATCGCCGCAAGCTGCATCCAGCATGGAAGTGGCCTCCAGCCTCAAGCACAAGCGACGTGGAAGTGGTTGTCCAAAATCGGGTATCCCCAAAATGGGTTGCCCTGGTAAGTCGAAAGGAGTAAAACCTGTCCATATCCTGATGGTGACTTTGTTTTGACCCATACCCAGGTGGAAAAAACAAACACCAGTTGGCCAAAGGAAATTTGGCGGCTTGGAACAACAATATTCAGTGGGTTGTAATCTTGTTCAGTGCTGTCAGCTGAAATTTGGCGGCTTGTACTCTTGCTCAGTCTGATAAGACCTTGCATCCTATGAAAAGCATACGCCACGTACCCAACTGGTGCAGGAGATCCACAGGTCATGGGAGCCCAGCTGATCCGGGGATCACCCGCTGGTTTTTTTTTCGATCCAACGGCGACCCATTTTGAAGTTGAACACCGGAAGTCTTCAATTTGCATGGTTACCCTTCCCGAAAGGGGCGGTTTTTTCAGTTCCTTTTACTTTCCTTTGGCTCCCAAGAAACACAATGAAGTTTGGTGGCCTTAGCTTTCCATTGACGACTAGCCAAAAGGGTATCAACTCAAGACCGAAACCGCACACCCATTTGCGCAATGCGGGGCGCCCATAGGGAGGACACCTTTGCCATTTTGGGGGTAACCACACACAGGGGTGCCGAACGGCGGGGAATTGTTGCCAATACCCAATCCTCAGCTTGCGCAAAAGACCAAGGTGAAGAGCTTTTCTGAGGGGATCACGGTGTGTACCAAACCTGGAAATCCATCTCCGCGCTTACGGGTTCACAACACCCCCTTAAATGCTGGCTTTCCATTTGACTTCCCTGCAACCCACCCACAAAACGGAGCCTTTCCCATCAAACAACGCGAGCGCGCATCCATATCCAAGGCACAAATCCACCGCCATATCCAAGGCTGTGATAGCAATGCGCACCATGGGGTGGAAGGGATCAGACCTGCGAGGGGCGAACAAATCCGGAAGCTGAGTGGGTCGGGTAATTACCCCAACATCGAAACCTTCGGACCGGAACTTTGAGCAAATGGAAACCCAACCACTAAACCAACTAAAAACCTAACTTCCACCCCCCCCACCCCCCCCCACCACTAAACCAACTAGAAACCTAAAGGAAGCCAAGCAGACAGCTGGATCTCATGGCTCAAGACTGCGCGGTTCAGCATCCGGCATCTTTTCAGAAGGCCAGCCATTTCCTCCAGGGGGCTGGTAAAACCAAACCGTTTTCCTCTAGGAAATTCAAGATGGTAGTCTCTTTACAGTGACACTTCAGCACGAATCTGCCCAAGGGTGAGACGCTTTCATGAATTTAATCAAAGAGACGCCAAACAGCAATGCAAAGCGGCTGAATCGAAGCTGGGCTCGATGCAAAAACAGCATGTGGAAAACGTCACGTCAGCCCCTTTGGTCTGTACAATGCGACGGTGCACTTACAGTTGAGCACACTCAGTCTCCGCGCGTCTCAGGTCCCTCTCGGCCTTGTACTCGCGCACCTTTCAGTGCACAGTAGAAACGGCAGATTCAAGAATTCAGGCAGGCACAATACAAAGATAGAGAGAGAGAGAGAGAAAGAGAAACAAACAAAAGAAAAACAACCATGGGGGAAAAAGACATATCCCTTTCACCTCCAGTGGAAAAAAAGGTTCAAAGGGAGCAGCCTGACAGTCTCGTCGACTCTATCAGGCCTTACAAGGCCCCAAGCATCAGGCGCTAAACTACACAGCAACTTGGTTTGGGGGACCCTTTGGGAGAGGCGTTGACTACATGGATACAAATGCACGCCTGGCTCGCCGCCCGCAAGCGACAGCTAAGCCAGCCGCTTCTCGCAATGTTCGACAGTATGCTTGCCGCAATGCCTGAAAGCCAGGCTGAAAGCTGCAGCTCTGAGTCATGCAAGGGTTCAAAAAGAACGGATTTCGATTTTGGACCCATCCGTTGCCGTAACACCCCTTGAGCAACGCTGCCTTCAAACGTAACAGGGAACCAATGCAACAAAACTGGCTGCACATTGACCCCCACATGTCCGACAAATTCTCACGCCTGAAGTGTCCCGGCAGCATCGGCTTGGTCCCAGCGATTCTGGACCTCAGTTTTAAGGCCAACGCCAAAGGGGACCTATTCGGATTTGAAAACAATCGGACCCTTCCAGGTAGTTGGTGTCCTTCTCCCTCAAACACCCATCCAAAACGAGAGGTCTATTTCAGAACATACCCATCTTTTGAGTTTGCTTTCAGGATTGGGCCAACCGATTGAAACATGTCTAAACCACATTTGTTTCCCGTACAAGGGAATCGGGGTCTGGTTATCGAAACACATATTGCTTTCAAGCGCAACAACATCAATCCACCAACAGGGGCAGGGACTCCATATGTTTTGGGGACACCACAACGGTTTCTGCACAGAGAGGCACGGTCACAGAGCTCGGACTCTTCGATTGGGCAAGGGCGCCCTGACCGATCCAGACAGAATAGCGTGCGTGTGTCCGTTAGCTTTCTTGGGCACCTCAAAAGGCACCTCAAATATCATCCAACAGTGGGGGTCCTTTTCCAACCAGACCCACAAGAAACACTATGTACACTAAAGTGGAACACGTGATGGTTTTCATTTGCCAAATGGACTTGAGTTTCTCTTTGGTTGCGGAGAAGTTTAGAGGGGGCATAAAAGAAATCTGTGGCTCTTTGTGCCTCAGCCAAGCAGCTCACGGATGAGCGATTCAACCCATGATGACAGTCCCTACTTGGGGATTCCTTGATTCTGCTGGAGAGCAAAACATATTGATTGGTCCAGTGCTTTTCCCTGGCTTGGTACCGGCTTGCGCTGCGGATACCAAAAAAAAACCACACAATTTCGACACCTCCCTTATGGTGATCGTATCTTATGCACTCCTGGGTTTATGTAGTCGATCTGCGCTTTCTGCTTTTTGCTGTCCTGCTGAATCTTAAGTATTCTCATGACATGGCCATGGGTCAAAATCCCGTACCTCCAGTGAACATCCCAAACCCCACTGAAATAGACTAAAATGGGTGGTGCACCTACCCCAAAACGGCGCCATTGGTTTTGACCCACAGCCACTATTGGGTGCGTATGTGTGTGTGTGTGCTGTTGCCCACCTCCATTTGCTTCTCTGACCTCTGAGCCCAAAACGGTTCGACATCTCCCAGCGGTTTGCTTGGCGCAAGACTGCAGTGTCGCCGAAGAGACCCGCCACAGTAGCGGCGTATGCGCGGCCCTGCACGCTACGCGCGGCAAAAGGTTGGGTCCAACGAAATATTCCCAAGCTCCACCTGAGCTTTTGCGCAACCAAAAGCTAAAATGCTTGATTCTGGTCCATATTTGAGCAATCTGACAATTTGAAACATGTTCACGGAGATCCCTGTTTTGGTGGGTTGTCAAGGAAGCCAAAAGGAAACCGTTCTCAGGGGTCCCTTAATTAATTGTAAGACAGCTCGAGTGAAGCCAAATGCACCCATGCCAAGTTTGTCACGCCACTCTGGTTTCTCTGAGAATGGTTAAGCCCTACATTCATGCCCCAAATTGCAGACCTTCCACCTGTTGTGGGGTTTCAAGAGTGTGTGTGTGTGTGTGTTCATGTGACTTCAATGTTGCCGGTTGCCCCGTCTTGTCCAGCTCAGCAAAAGGAACTTGACTTTGACATAGCAAATGCACGGCCAAACAGCACCCAACATCTTGGGTTTCTCTGAGTTCTCCTTCCAAAAGAGTTGGATCCAATTCACAAATCTTCGGACACCAAGGGGTTGAGAGAAATGGATGTGACTTGCTGCCCCGCCCTTCGGAAACGGCAAAGCTTTGGTTCCTTCAAACGGGCATGGGACGCGCAAGCTGCGGTGTGAGTTTAAACTCAAAGTCACATGCTAAGCCTCAAACAAAAACGGGGTCCAACGTGACATCCTGAGAATTAACCTCATGGTGATAAACTTAATAAAGGGGGTCCCCATCCCCTACAACCCTTGGGACCCAGTCGCCTTGATGCTGGCCACCAGAGCGCTGCCCTTCTCAGACACGAGGCTGTTAGGCACGGTGCGCGCCTGGTCCCACCTGAAAAGGGATCGAGATTCCAATGCCTTCAACCTGGAGCCAAGGATGTGAATCTCTTTACTCCCATCATCACTGGTGCAAAAGGTGGAAGCAAAAACCAGGGCAATCCCCCCACATTGGAGGGTCAATCCAAGCATTCTGAACCCAATGCGAAGATCTGTCCAGACCACCAGAAAACTCAGGGAGTAGCTGGTTGTTGAAACGAACGATGGCGGAAACTAATGGAGAGATCAAACCCTAGAAGTTCCGGCATTCAGATTTGAAGAACTTCGGGGATTCGAAACTGGGAATTGGTTGCAGACGCAAATAGCTTCAAGGGGTCGCAATTTGAGAAGACATCCTTTGACATCCTTTGCTATCGTGAGTTTACTATGATTAAATCAGCCTGCAAGCAGCAAGCTTAAGGGAAAAAAACGAAACGTGTGACTTTGATACGCGCAACCCCTAGAAACAGTCAATTCAAGGACCATGTTTTGAACGCCCCCTCCAGCGACACCGGATTTCACAATCTAAACAAAAACACGCGCCTTTCCAAAGGGTCGACTTTGACCCAGCCACGTTGGCCATGCCATTCTGAGATACCCTCAATGAACTTTGGATCTTAAACGTCCCCTGGATTTAATGGGACATTTGGAGATTGGTTCTGATAGACTGGGCATGTTGAGTGAACCTCACATGGTCTCAGAAGTTTTCATCTTTGACTCTCCGGGCTCCCTGCCAGTCGATGAGTGATGAGAAAGACAAAGGCCCATCTGCCTGACATGCGGCAAGTGGCCCTGTGGCGCGGTTCCCAAACAGAACCATGCCCGTAAAAGACTACCACCCACTGACATGCTCGGAAAACCACCTGCCTTGTTTGCCTCTGACAAAGACCTTCACGCGGGTTGCAAGTTTGGTGATGGGAGGGTAAATCCTAATAAGTAGGAAATGAGGCTGTAGGGGAATCTATTTGCTTGTCAAGCGTGGCAGAAACAATTCTCCATGGGAGGCGCCATTTTCACCGGCGCCCCTGCACTATGAAGCGGCTTGTGATGGGCGCTATGAGGCCATGCCGGATGCACTGACTGGCAAGCAGCCCGGTTTGCACAGAAAGCCTGGTGTCTGATGGCAGGATTCACTAACCCTGTGATTTCATCGCGATTGAATTCCTCCAACTTACCAAAAGAGATTGAACATCTCTTCCTATTCCAGACAGGGTACTTGGTGTTCTTGGTTCCCGCACCGTCTTAGATTCGACAAAGTAACAAGGCAAACCTAGGTCACAGCAAGTCATCACCTCAAAACACCGAGCCCGCTCACTCAGATGTGGGTTTGCGATCGGGTCCTGCGCCGTGCACTTCAATCTGTTGGATCTGTCTCAAACTGGGAGTGCCCTCCTTGTACATAGGATGCCCGTAAGTGTCCTTTTGGGGCAAATAGATGGTCCTGGTAGATGATTAACCCACCAGGTAAACCAGGAATCGCCATCAATTTTGTTCGACCAAAGCAACCAAAAAGGACACCTATGATACTGCCCCCAAGATTTGTGGAAATCGAAACGGTCCAACTTTTCTGGGCTCTGCGCGTCAATCTAGGGAGTATTTGAAAGGGAAACCGAAAGGACACCGGAAAGCCTCGAGTCTTGCTATAGAATCGATGGTGCAAAATGCCTAGGGTGGACAGTTTACTGCGTTGCTGAATAAACAAAAGATACAAAGAGATTCAACCCGCCAAGGTCACGGCTTACCTCGAATCTTGCGAGCCACATTCGAACCATCCAAAATACGGATCTGTCTCCTCCTCCCCAAAGAACAAAATTATGCTCGTGTCAAACCTCCCAAAACTACGGTTTGCCTCAAAATGGAGAACCCCACCCAACAAAACATTGGTTCTCCTTTGGTCTCCCCT